TATGTATATGTATATATGTATATATATATTTATATATATACATATATATATATATATATATATTTGACTTCTATAAAATTATAATCTTGTCAATTCTTTGTGTAGTATACGGTATCTAATAGTGGTAATACAATAGTTCTGTCAATATTATAATATATAGGGGAAAACAGAATTAATTAGGCATTTTCAATAATGCGTGAGTCTGAGAATGTATAATACAGTAGAACCTCTATTAAGGGGACACCTTTGGGACCAGAAAAAGTGTCTCCTTAATAGGGGTGTCCTCTGAATAGGGGTACCCTTATTAAGGGGACACTAACCAAAAACGCGAAATTGTCCCCTTAATAGGGGTTTTTGGCATGTTTTCAAACGATAACATACATTCTGTATAATTTTATTTTTATTGACATAAGGTATCAGCTAAGTAGAATTATTTATTTATATGAATGTACACGAAAAACAAGGGAAAAGAAATCCCCGTGGTTAAGGGTCAATATTGACAAGATTGGCTTATGAAGTAACAGAGTATCCAGAAGGACAAACGTTTCTGTGGAGAAAATTCTGGTTTATTGCTCAAAAGGTGTTAAATTATGAAGTTGAATGAATTTTTCTTACTGTGAAACTGCTGTAGTTGTGATACAATTATGTATAAAAATAATTGTTATTTGACCAGTTGGTACACTCAGAAAGTGTCCCCGTCCCTTTAATAGGAGTGTCCCCTTAATAGGGGTCGGCCGTAGTGTTAAAAGATATATTGCCCCTCGTTTCACGGAAAAATGTCCCCTTAATAGGGGTGTCCCCTGAATAGGGGTGTCCCAAAGGAGGGGTTCTACTGTAATAGGCCTATATTTGTGTAAATGCATCTAATACAAAAAGGAATTTTTTTTATTGTTTTGACTGATTCAACACACATGAATTAATCAATATATAATTGGAATAATAATACACACATAGCGATTGGTATCCTATATTCACGAAGATAAAATTATTAATGTAAGCGTTCGAAATAATACGTGTTATGCATGAAAACATTAACGAGACGTGTCTTAATATCCCAACTAATGTTATATAGGCCCAGCCTAGATAATAAAACTCAGCAGTAAAGGGTCCAACAGATAAAGTTAGAATGTCGGAAGCACTCATGGTCTCTGGCAGGGTCTCGAAGTAAATAATTTTCTAAAGGCTAAATTCACATCGACTCCGCTTTCGGAAAACCAACCGAACCGATCAGAAAATCGGCGGTATGTAAGAATATAGGGACGTTGGAGTTCAGCGCATCGGAAACGCGGCCCGATGTGAACGCAGTTTCAGTCTGAAAACATCGTATGTAAAAATTGTACCTTTAGGCCACAACATTAGGGACTATCAGCATAATAACTTTACTTGGATCATAGGGGGTCTATGTTTGTTTGTCCGTCGATGGATTCCTATCCCCGACCCTATATTGGCGCCACCACCTGATATAATTTTGGAATATCAAGGATATGTTAAATTATGTGAATTAGTATTTTACGGGGAGATGTAAAACTACTCTCAAGTACTCACTTTTCAAGTCGTTGTCTGTCTTTCTTTTACTTAATCAATCACAAGGTCCTCTAATTTTGTAAAGTTGTTAACAAATCAAGGAAAACAATGAGAGTTGGCTATGCTCTTTTAGAACACAGGACTTACTATACGACGCATTCACAGGATCCCATAGATTGGTGGTACATGAACCCAAGAAAACTTCCTTGTGAGATTTTCGTGTGAACCTACCCATCAGGCTTTTTTCTAAGCATATTGGGTCAGTGAGTATTTTTTGTATACTGACAATGCATGGGACAATAGGCGATGATTCTTTAGACAATTTGTTAACATGTGATCCAGTGTAAACTACTTTAACTGTTTTGCAGTGAACCGTGTTTGATAAAATGAAAGTCTAGGCGTTACAGGTAAGTCTATTAACCGATCGATTACATCGATTATTAAATAATGAGCCAATGGCTTAATTTATAGTACTAACGCAATCAGTTCCGAGTTTAAGATAGTTTAGTATCTTAAAATAATGATATTGAGTTAATTACGTTTCCCCTTTGACACCTTTGTCATCGAATCTCCTGCATTTTGTGCTATAAGTATAACATTAGGCTTATTAACATTATTATTTCCTCCAATATATCACAATAACGGAGCAATTTTTTTTTTATCTTTCGTGGGGAACACCCACCTTTATTCAAACAATTTTACATAATTTCTTTATCATCATCATCATCATCATTTACATATAAAATACATTCCTCAATAAACCTATGCCTAATAAAATACAACAAAATAACCTTGATATTTAGTAACAATATTAAAAATAAAATACAAATTTCAACTTTTCACAAAAAAAAAAAGGAAGAAAGAACATTGAAAATCCCAGTATATAATATAACGGAGCAATTTTAGGCCTACGATACTCCTTGATTTGATTTGATTTATGCGATATCATAAACAAATGAAAACAACAAATGCAAAACTAAGAGGTATAGAATCAAAAGTTATGATCCTATAAAAGTTGTAGTCCCCTATTTGGAATAATTAATAATTATCTTATATAGCGCTTCATGCCTTTACAAGGCCTCTAAGAGAATAATCCTCTATAATACAGGAATTATTTTCAGAGGGATCCCAAAGGCACAAAATAGATGGCACCAAAAATATTGGCATTAAGTAAAAAGAGATACAAACAAAGATGGAATAAATCCAGAGAATAGGGACGGGGTCCGTTTATATGCAGTCTTTCGGGGTCGCTTCGGCCGGCGCCAAACAGCCAACTTAGTAGATAGGGACAGTAATTGCTGATACAGTCTAAATTATTTGTAAATTGACAGATGAAATCATATAGATATTAAGGTCTCGAATTAAGTTTGCTGCTTAGTTCTGAAAACACAATATAAAAATAGATAAATGATGAAAGTAGTAATAATAATAATTTTAAAAATGATTTTGTGTCTACAAGCATGAGAATGCCCACTGTTGACCACCACCACCCTTAATGTTACCCTTAATGTTATACTGTACGCACCAAAATAACATACAGATTTGGTCGTGGTTTATTATTGCGACAAAACGCAAAGGGACCGTTGAACACGATCGGTTGATTAAACAACAGTAAAAAATATAAATTCTTAAAAATGAACCAAGCCAAGTGGCAGGGTGCGTAGCAACCCAGTATTTTGAAAGTGGAAACTAATAGAAATAAAATTAATTTTCAATTGTACGAACAAAATTGTCTTTAACGAGATTTAACCTGCATATAAATGCGAACGTCATAAATTACCGTAAAACCTGGAATTGAAGCCCAGCGGGCTTAATCTCGAGATGAAGTCCATCTTGAATTGAAGCCCCCTTTTTAGTTTGCAAAATTAGCCTCGAAAAGAAGCCCATCTCAAAAAGAAGCCCATGGGCTTCTTTTCAAGATAGCTTAGGCTTCTTTTCGAGATATTACAGTCGCATTAACTGTAGGCCTACAGTACATCAATTTCAGAAAACCAAAACAAAATAAATTAAATACAAGCTTGGTTTATACAGTAGTATACATCCAAAGTTCGCAACGAAAAGAAGAAGCCCACTGAGGGCTTCAATTCGAGGTTTTACGGTAGCTAGTAATCGAGACCTATACGATATTTGTGCAGATGTAAAACACCAGCAGTACTATCTCATACAAATTGACTTTTGCGCTCATACAAGTGGATCCACGGTCAAGCTGTCCCCAGCTGGACAAATCATTTCTCATTAGGTTTACTGCATAGCGCACAGAGGAGTATCACTGTAACAATTGTAGAAAATTTGAGAATGGATCCTAATAACAGTGTTCAAATTACTATTATACTTACTGAACTATAATATATACTGTCTCTTATACACATCTAGATGTGTATAAGAGACAGCCTTTGACACCTTTGTCATCGAATC